TTTAAGATCATTTTAGTGAAAGTTTCATCCTTCAAGGCGTACCATTCACTGCTCAAATACTAAACAACCTGCTTCCATGGCCGAGATACAGGGCGCCCATATTATAAGGTAAGGTTATAAAACCACCATTTAAGATCATTTTAGTGAAAGTTTCATCCTTCAAGGCGTACCATTCACTGCTGAAATACTAAACAACCTGCTTCCATGGCCGAGATACAGGGCGCCCATATTATAAGGTAAGGTTATAAAACCACCATTTAAGATCATTTTAGTGAAAGTTTCATGTTCCTATCTCATAGAATTTAAGAACAATGATGAATAAATCATTTTCGAGCAAAATTTAAATGGCCGGCTGAATATATTACCGCCGGAGACACGGCCGCAGAATTTAAATGACCGCGTCAAAGGGTTAACTCACCCATTCATGGAGCTGACCCTTCTGGAGAAGCTGCCAACTGTGCAACTACTCAAAAACTTAACAACATTTTATGGAACCTGAAGGTTCATTACCATACACACAAGAGCCCTCCACTGGTCCCTATCCTCAGCCAGATCACCCCTGTCCATACCATCCCACCTTATCTCTCTGAGACCCATTTTAATATTGTTCACCCAGCGACGTCTTGGTCTTCCTAGTAGACTCTTTCCTTCTGGCTTTCCCATTCTTCTTCTCCCTTAATTCGTGCTACATGCCCTGCCAACCTCATCCTCCTTAACTTGATCACTCTAATTATACTTGTTGAAGAGTACAAGTTATGAAGTTCCTCAGCATGCAGTTTTCTCAAATCTCCCATAACTTCAACTCTTTGACACAAATACTCTCCTCAGCACCCTGTTCTCAAACACCCTCGGTCTATGTTCCTCTCTTAATGTCAGAGACCAAGTTTCACACCCATTCAGAACCACAGGCAAAATTACAGTTTTGTATATTCTGATTTTTCTGTTTTTAGACACCAGACGAGAAGACAAAAGGTTCTGGACTGAGTGTTAGCAAGGACTACCTGAATTCAAATTACTCCTGAATCAGGTTTTGATCTGTTACTGTCATTCCCAAATATCTGAACTGTAACACACTTTCAAAACATCTGTTACCTATCTTCATATCATGATTTAGCCTGCATTCTGGTGATGAGACAGCAACATACTCATACATTAGTTTTCACTGTGTTTACTTCTACACTAACCTCCTTACTAGCGTCAATTAAAATCTGTGAGATTTTCTTTATGGTATATATATTATCACCCAGCAGATTCACATCTTCAGCATAGTCCAGCAGGTGATGTGACCCGTTTAATTTCAGTCCCACCTGGTTTCCCTGGACCTTCCTAATGGCATATTCTAAAGCAAATTTGAAAAGCACTGGTGATATCTAAAGGAATCATTCTTTCCAAGATGAAATCCCAACTTTCACTACAAACAACAGCCATCAGACTGGAAGCAAGAACACGTACAGTGAATGACCTGAGGCTCTCACAGTGGTGGTTGTGAATAAGTTTATCTTCTGTAATATAACGCCATGTAGTATGTTGCAAATAAACCAACATTTTAGAGGTACACATCATCTCCATCTTCAGGATCCACCTGCTACCTGTGTCATGCTGCTTTCTTTCTTGGCTTATTCTTTGACCCTGAAGATGGAGGCAAACATGTTCTTTCAAAACATCACTTGACTTTCATCAGACTACACATCCTTGAAGAAAGAACTCTTCATATACAATCACACCTCCATTTAAGGTTTCTTTGAGAAGCAGTGAATTTAAACACTATACTAAGAAAAATCTTAATTGGAGGAAACTTAACGCTGAGATTATTCACTTGAAATTACTGAAAATGAACATTAAATGATGGACACCTTACACTGAAGGACACTAAATGGGGGTTACACTGTATAATGTGAACATACAGGCAGCATGCACTTGTACAACTAGAAGGAAAAAAACAGCTACTTCTTAGCACAAACTTTTCAACCCTGGTGAAACTGATTTACATAACTGTATTCACTGTGACTTTCATCACAATATTTTGTCTTCATTTCTCAAAATGCAAAGACTTAAATATTTTCCTTGTTGCTCTGTATGGCTATGAAATCTGGTTTCCCGCTTTAAAGATAGAAACGGCAGAAATGAAGTGTAGCAGGCTACATAACGAGGGCCAAATACAGAATACAAAAATTATGGAAGACCTGAATATTTTAATCTAAATTCTAAAATTCAGATCACAGTGGAAATATAAGTGAAAGATATATGAATTGCAAGAGTTTTAATATGAACTCAGTGGAACAACAAAAAGTATGACACCCACAGTCACAATGGAGGGACCAACATACTCTTGAAGAGGATGGGACAGGCCACACATTTCCTCATCCATGAAGACGGAGGTGGGGGTGGTGATCATGACGATGATGATGACGGCAACGACAACAAACAACCTATGATAGAGGTGTATGAACACGGGGTGCTGAGATTATTTGAAGCTAGAAGAGGGGAAATAACAGGAGACTGGAGAAAATTACATAAATAAAGCTTTGAAATTTGTTACTTTCATCAGATATTATTAGAATGACCAAATGGAAAATGATGATCTTGGCAGGACATGTACCCTGCAGGGAGAAGGTGATAAATGCATAAAGAATTGCTGCCAAAATTATGAAGGGACAGGGTAAAGTGGGAGACCTTAACACAGAAAGAAGAATCTTAAAAAAAAAAAAAAATGGCATGATGATGTGGATTGGAGTCATCTAGTTCAATGGTAGCTAAAGCTAAGAAAATGTTTGCATAGCCACCATGTTTACCTCATATTCTACAGCAAATTACCTTAATAAAAGAAGAATTAAAGCTCTGTTACCATATATTATTTGTGAACAAAGCATTAAGAAGCATTAATGTCACTCACATCTCATAAGTTAGCATGTCTACCATCCTGTTAGTACTCGCTGTAGAAAACCGAAAGTATGATGTAGAGGTGGCCAACATACTAACAATTAGTAAAACAGTTCCAAAACTGAAAGCAGACACACTAACACACTGAAGCACACACATATAAGCCTACTGTGTTCTAACAAAAGAGGAAAGCAGGCTACAAATGATAAATAAATTATCAGTTCCAAAGAGTTTTATTTTCTCCTGTAAAATGTTCCTGTGCCGGTCACGGTAGCCGAGTGGTCTAAGGCATGTTCTGTCTTTGCTCGCTTGGAAACCGGGATCGTAGGTTCGAATCCCACTCAGAGCATGGATGTTTAGTTTGTGTGTGTGCATTTTTCTGTGTTTGTGTACAGGTAGAGGCCTTGCAACAAGCTGATCACCCGCCAAAGGAGTCCTACCGAATGTGTTAGATCTAGAAAAACCGAAGTGAAACGGAGAAGTTCATGGAGGTAGGCCTAGGCCCACTGGGGCTGTGGTCTCAAGAAAAAAAAAAGTGATTTTAATCGCTTCTTGCATCCTGTTGTGTGTTTAATCAATAGTAGAGTGAATTTACAGACTACACAACACGTTTTTTATTATCATATTATGTGAAAAGTGTTCCAGTATGAATTAAAGTTCTATACTAACCCAGTTTTATTTTGTAGCAACCTGTCAAGAAACAGCTCTCCATACAGCAAGGTGATGCAAGCATCTTCTCTGAGCCAATCAGCATCTTCATCAGAGGAAAATGGGGAGGGATGATGCACATGCTGCCTTCACGAAATGTAACAACAAAGCATTTACTGATCATTCTTAGGCTACTCAGAATTTGTGGGTTGGCACAGAAGTAACACTGCAGATTCATATTCAAAAAAGGATTGGTTCAGATTTTTGCTGACACAATCTATTTTACTCTAAATGCTCCTTCAGTCTATATATGGTATTCCATATTGTTGTATCCAAATACAGTGAAATGCAATTACAAGAATCGGCTAGGTGTCCAGGAAACCAGAAAAAAGTGTCAGTACCAACAAGACAGTAAATTGACCTTCAACAAGATGACTACAGATATCACAGCCTTGTACCTTTGGACAAAAGAAAATGGTAATTCACCTATAGGCTACTCAGGATGAGTAGCCTTAAGGTGGCAGCAATGTGGCATGTCTGCTGAAAGCCAGAACTGTGAAGCCATTGCAAGGGAATGGCTCTGCTGGCTTCACAGTTCTGGTTTTCAGCAGACACCCCACATTATCTTCCCATGTAGTCCTAGGTCTTACAAGTGGTATCTTTCCTTCTGCTTTACCTACCACAGCTTTGTATGCATTTCTCTTCCTTCCCATACATGCTACATGGCCCACTCATCTGACCCTCCTTGACATTACCATTCTAATAATATTTTGCAAGGAGTATAAATTAGAAGGGAGAGTCACTAAACAGGTCACAAATAGATAAAATGTAAAACGTGATATTCAAATCTGAGAAAAACCTTTTTTCTCAACATCTTCCACCAACATTGATATACTTGTCCCATCTCTTTACCAGTGTGCTGAAACCTGCAGTATAAAAGTCTTTTGAGTGTTGTCTCAGTCATTTTGCACCTAGTCAGGCATCATGTGCAACTTTGGAATGTCCTTTACAGAATTTCTTGAACCAGCTGAAAACTGCTTTATATGACAAACACTTCCCACCATAAACTGGAAATATTTCTTTACGAATATTCTTTGCAATGAGCCCATCTGCTAACAAAAACGCACATGAAAACACAGCTCTTCGGTAGTAACTCTGCAAGAATTGTCACAATTTTGACTACTGAAACCAGCCTCTGAACATGCACATGCATGGCAGTTATCTAGACTATCATGAAGTTGGACTGTGCTGCTACCTAGTGATACAGAAAACCTATTACATCCATTACAGCTGTTTTACTTCCATTTGTGGCCTATTAACTGACTCTCCCTCATATGAAGCTCCTCATTATGCAATTTTCCCCACATTCCTATTGCTTTCTCTCTCTTATGACAAAATATTCTACTCACATGTCCTATTCTCACACACCCTCATACGATGCCCTTCTTTCCTACAAAAACAAAAATACTGTCATGTGTTAGTGACTTGACATAGGGTTTGGATTGGTAATTAGACTTGTTGGATGCTTATAGCTCATAACTACAAATGATAACAGATTGCTAGGTAGCGGCTGATAACAACAGAGATTCCTCACAGCCAACCACAAACTGCCACTGATCACCTGCAACTCATGATCACTCACTGACAAACCCAACTTCTGTGTAATCTTTCCCGTTGGTTCTCACCTTGGCACGGACCTCACAGAAAACACCGCTTCCAGCAGTTCCTCTATTCTTGCATGTTGTTTCACTGCTGTGAAAACATGTTTATGGCACCACTGCGTAGCAATGGTTGCATCTATTCATTCCACTATTCATCCATGACGTCACAGTATTTTAAACGCATCTCATAAACTTCACAAATCACAGCTACTTACCTCATACACTGGTAAGCTTGTATGAAGATCCCTGTAAGGGCTGCAGGCCACAACAGCTGCCACTTTTTACTAAGTAACTTCACATAGCTGATCAGCAAGTCAATGATGTTATGCCGAGTGTTGGACGAAATAAATTCCCCAACATCATTATTTTCCTTTTCAGATCCAAAATAACCTTCATCGGTTAATATTTTTGTCATTTCTTCATTCCTATAGAAATTAATGTTTATAATTACATGACACATTACTATTATATACTGATAAGTAAAAAGGAAACTGGATTCACTGAGTTAAAACATAACAATTTACCAGTTACAATTAAATTTTAATACAGCAAACCCATAGAGTGTCAAAGCCTGTGATAGTTTATAACCATTATGTCTTCTGGTTTGGAGACAATGTTTACTTGTCATACAGAATTAATGAGAACCTTGATATTATGTTCAAACACTTTTACATCAACAATGTTTTACCATTTATCTGAATGTATGAAATTTCTGCCCAATCAGAAGTGTTCTTTAACAGAAACATTCCCAATTTACCATAGCATCACATATTTTCAACACATGCAGTTCAAAATAAGTATAAAGGTAAGATTACCCTTCTGTCTGAACAAGTCTCGCTGGACTCTTCACCAACAACCCTTCTCTTAGGGTTACAACACTGTGAATGGTGGGGGGGATTTGCAGCAATAATCTGTGGGTTGTGTTGTGATGATATTCCCGGTGATTAGGGCTGTAGCACAAGTCAAGTTGGCTCAGGCTGTAATGCTTCTGCCTTATATACAGGAGGTGGGCTGCATCATAGCTAGAGCGGTTATTCACTGGCTTCCCACTGTGGCAGCCCGGGTTCGATCCTGGGTCTGGTCGAGTGGGATTTGTGGTGGACAAAGTGGTGCTGGGGCAGGTTTTCTCCGAGTACTTCGGTTTCCCTTGCCAATCTTCATTCCACCAGTTGCTCCACAATCACCCTCACCTATCATCTGGGGCTGGTACAATAGGCCAGAAGTGGCTGCAGTACAAGGGACTTAGTCCCACCCCACTAGCAATAAAAAAAAACATATAAAGGAGGTGACTGGTACAAATCTCAGTTGGGACACCAACTATCCTGAGGGTTTTCATTGTATTCCTCAGTCCCTCTAGGCATATGCCACAACACTACCTTAAATTGGGCCACGACTGCTTCTTTTGCCATCCTATTCGAGTCACTATCCACTATCATCCACTCATTCTGACTCACTGCTTTCCTGACTACATCATGAAGCCAAACAACAGCATTAATATGGACCCAGAGATTTTCAAAAGCTTTAAAGACCTGCTGCACAGGTATCCAAAGTCTCACTACTTCATTACTATGTATAGCCTGAGCTATGAACGAGTCAGTAAATAGGTCACAGATACATATAAAATGTAAAACTTGTGATATTTGACATATCCTCCACCAACATTGATACATTTGTCCCACTTCTTCACCAGTGGCTGAAACCTGCAGTACAGTGGTCTTTTTGATTGCTGTATCAGCAACTGGTTGGGCATCATCAGCAACTTCTGAATGTCCGTGAAAGAATTTCTCAACCAAATTGTGAATTGCTTTATGTGACAAACACTTCCCACCATAAATGGGAAACATTTCTTTATGAATATCCTTTGCATTGAGTCCTTCTGCCTACAAAAGAAGCACAACAGAACGCTGCTCTTTGGTAATACACTCCTCAGGCACAGTCACCATTTTCACTACTGAAACCAGCCTCTGAACATGTGCATGCATGTCTGCTACCTAGACTGTCATGAAGCTGGACTGTGCTGCTACATAGTGATACAAACAGAAAACCTATTACCTCCATTACAACTGTTTTACTTCCTCTTATGACCTTTTTACTGACTCTACCTCACAACAACATACACAATATTCACCAGATTCACATCTACAAATGCCCACTGAATCCCATATAAAATGTCAGTTTGGAGAAACTATAAATTTTACAGATAACTTAATTTTAACATTTCTCAGATTATGATTTCTTCAATAATTGATCCATTTAGGGCCTCTCATCAATCAAGTTAGCTGCACATACGAATGACATGAGAACTGTATATTATAAACAGCCGTCTCTGAGAACATCTGATATATTCATTCAATAGTTCTAAAATCTGGATCAATATTAAGCAACTTTAGTCCCTCATAACAAAGTTCTGACATAAAAATGAAGAATTGGTAACATAAACTTACTCCTTTCTTGGTGAAACCACAGCTGAACGGTGATTGTCATCAGATCGACCTTCGGTGCTCTCACGCCTGTCAAAGAGCTTATACAGGTCCATTGTATCTAAGGAGTTTTCTGTCAATTTCATAGCTTCTAGTTCCTTTTGCTTGGCATCTTTCATAACATTTGGCCTGCACCACATCATAATTGAAAACAAATCACGTTAGATTTGATATTCTCAGAGCAGTGACTATGAAGAATATGGTCCTCTGGGTTGTAATGCCACACAGTTCAGAGAACGCTTCACGTTGAGGAGGAGTATCTTCAGTGTCGATGAGTAAGCCAAGTAAGGAACCAGCAACAAACAGGAATGTAACAGTGTGTAATCTGGCAGAAGTTCACTGACGTTTTGGAGGAACGTCCTGTCTCCAGACGAGCTCAGATGAGCTTGCTGCCTACTTCTGCTTGTTTCTTTCTTAGTTTCCTTGTCAACTCTGAAATGTTCTCTGAAATATTGGGCTTCTCCTAAATTACATGGCATTGCATCTCAGGACATTATACTCTTAACATTGTTATGTGTAAAGAATCTCTCTCCACATGTGATGCCTTCATTAAGCAAAGGTATACACTTTAAAATTCTTCTGTAAAATAAGACAACTTAAATTTTAAGGGCAAAACATGCAGTAATTTCTTGACTAAGACTCTGCCATTAAGTGTAAAGTTGTCTGTTAGCTCCATAGTACTCATCCAGCAAAAACCTGACACACAGTACTTACAATAACGACTGAGGCACAAGTCTCCTCAATGCTTCCTGCAAGTTACCATCTTCTCTTTCTGCCTCTCTTTTCACTGTAGATCGAACTCTGGCTGAACGGCGCTTTCCACCCCACATCCACTGTTCAAGAAAGGACAATGAGCTCCGACGCCGCTTCCGAGATTTAGCATCATCACCTTCAGGGGTTCCTATGATAAAGAACAAAGGTAAAATCATCCTTGTGCTTAACTAATTCAGCATTACTCCATGAAAGCATATGGGTGAATGGATGTATAGATACACACTATCTTGTCCTCAGCACTAACTGGAGGTGAGTGGCCAGCTTCACACCACTTTATCCCTGGGGAAAGGACCCCCAGTGTCCATTGGATAGGAGGCTGGATGGGACCCAGAGCTGGTCTGGACGACATAGAGAAGAGAAAATTTTTGACCCTACTGGGACTTGAGCTCTGACCTCTCAGTTGTTTAGCCTGTAGCCAGTCACTATACAGACTACACCATCCTGGCTCTCGGGGGTTCTTATGACAAAGACTTTCTGTTATTTAATATTACTGAATGAGAAAAATATGTGAAATAAGGTAAAAGAAAAAAAAAAGCTCTTCCTGTGCTCTCAAACACCATGCCACATGTGGGAGTGAAGATACAGCCTCTCACATTTTAACCACAGCACTACATGAAGATGAGCAGTTAGCTTCACACCCTGGCCACTTTACACCCAATGAAAGAGGCTCTGGTTTCCACTGGCTAGGAGGCTGGGTGGACCACCAGAGCATGTGTGGACCCCTTGCCCCTGCTGGAAATCGAACCCTGATTCCTCAGTCATCCAACCTGTAGTCTAGTCACTCTACTCAGACCTCTTGGTTCACAGTGAGATGTGTACACACACAAAATTGTGTTGTAGAGAAAAACAATTACTCTTAATTTAACTGATGGCCAAAAGAATCATAACATTGGATACTAAAAGTTCCTGTTTTCTAAAGATGACAACCATTCTGAGTGTGAATGAGGCTGGCAGCTCAATGAAATGTTGTTCTTATATTATTCTTTTTCTTGGTCATTCTAAGAGGGCAGTATGACAAGTAATGAGTTCAGCAATAATGTTCATCTTCAGTGGCTTTGTTTGAGATGGTAGATGTACTACGTTGTTTCCTCAAGGGAATTTAGCTGTTAGTGCAGATATCACAGACAGGGAGAGAGTGTGTACACACATGTGTATATGCATGTTTATATGAGTTCTAGTAAAAACTTGTTTTGCAATGGCACAGGAAAACAAGGTTTCAGATGTTTTAAGGCAGAGATGTATGACAGAATGTTGTACTTCAGAAAAAGTGCTGAAGAAACTTTGGAGATGTTACTGCATATATGGAACCAAACTGTGAATGGCATTCACTCTGCAAATACACTAGGAGTCATTTACGGAATGATACTTGGAAGAAAAAGAGTGGAGTTCTTGACAAAATGGTGGTTTCTGCTTCAAGATGAACAACCTGCCATTGTTAGTGTGTGGGTGGGGCACTGAAAAAAATGTACAGCATGTGAAGGACATTATTTTGAAGAAGAAACACTGCCCAAAATAAGAAATCCTCAGACAATGTAATATGTGAGTAGTCTCATCACTTTTCAGACCTCCTCAAACTGTACTTGCTCCCTCAGGGGATTCTGCCTATTCTTACCGACCTAATGAAGGTAAATCCTAAACAATCTCAGTCTCAAAGCTTGGAACTGGCTACAAAAACTGTAATACATGTTACATCAGCTGATATGAGAAAGTAGTGCATATTCAGCCCACTTCTTAAGTTAAGATAGATATCATCAGAACATCCCAAATACCTCTGGCATCAGCTGCTCCATCTTCTTCCCCTGCAGCAAGTGAGGTGGCCTCCTCATTCACCCCAGTCTTCATATCTTGACTTGCTGCCTGGCCAACATCCATTGCATCATCCGGTGGCTTAACATCTTTCTCCGTGTGGTTCACGGTTCCTGCTGTGGCCTCCAGATCAACAGGGCAGCAAAAATGCTAAAGGAATGCGTCACTTCAGAAATGGTTTCCTTAGATACAAACTGCAGCAGTGATATATGAAACAGGAGCAGTGATTCATTGCAAATTATTTTATGATTTCCCCCATCTTTATATTATGTGATGAATTACTTCAGTGAAACTTTTCCCAAGGGGGAAAATCTATAACATGTGTAAATTCACAGTCCACATGTTGTTTGACAAGTTTCATATTCAGTGCCAGTTGCACACTTATGAATACTCTGAAATGCTGATGTATGTATGTATATATGGGGTTTGATACATCCCCTTTTAGAGTGAGACCAATGGACCTTATGATGATCTGAAAACTAAAGAATAAAAAATGTGACAAATGAATCACACTCTGTGGAACCAACACTAAATGTCTTACTTTACATAATTCTGCTTGCCCTGTATGACCACATTTTAGGTATGCTGATATTCATAATAATGTTGTATAAAGTTTTCTACAACAGTCATCAATCATTTTAGATTCACATAAAGATAAAACTATGGGAAAAAGGGCAGTCTTCTTTGTGCTTAATTAATTAAGCACCACACCATGTAGACATATGGGGAGGGGAGGTATGGATCCACCATTCTTGATTTCAGCACTAAATGTAGGTGAAGGTACAGCTTCACACTCCTGCTGCTTTACCCCATATAGAAAGAAACCCCAGTACCCATGGATATGAAGCTGGGTGGACCCCAGAGCTGGTCTGGCTGCAATGGAGGAGAGAAAAATCTGCTGCCCTCTGGCAATCGAACCCCATTTTTTGGTTGTCCAGTCAACCGCCAGTAGCTATACTGACTGTACCATCCTGATTCCCTTTTTACATGAAAGAAAACTATACAAACGCATTAAGCATGCAAGAAATGCAGATGAATCTATTTTAAATGGTTCTGAATATGGTGTATTACACTTAATACTAATTTCCTGTACTTTGTCCACCATCTGATATTCTGAAACATAGCACAATGTTTCAGATCCTGGATCTACTCCCATTCTTATTCAGATTTCTTAGAAGGAGCTAATTTAATCACTGATCCAGTATCTAGAATTAGCTCTTCTTAATGGACCCCTCAACTGAAGATGAAGAGCAGATTTGGTTCTCAAAACACTGTTTCTCACTGTAGAATACAGGATGACATACAAAGTTGGGAAAATTCACAATATCAAATGAACAGGAATGTCACTCATGTTTTAGCTGGTGACCCATAGAGCTTTGAAAGTTACTGCCATGTCATAACTGCCAACCTTATTGGTTTATCTGTGGAAACAAAGCACAAAGCATAACCTCAGAATCTGCTTCTAACAAGGCCATAAGGTTAGGCCTTTGGTCCTTCTTCTCATTAATATTTCCAAACCTTCCAAATATAAGTTTTGGGTTTTATTTTCACAAATAAACTTCTATAAATGGCAGTCCTAGTGTGGCAGACAAAATGGTGGTTAAATTTTAAAGTTACCTGGGTCAACCATTAACATGCAACATTATCATATCTTTCAATAAAACACTGATATTACAGACGGCATATGCTGACTGCACATAACTACAAAACACAGTTCAAATCAGATGTTATATATTAAAACTTACTCTTATATTTCTATTGGCATCAATGTGCTGATGGAGATGTACAAGACTTTCTCCTAATGCTAGCCATGTTTTGGCCAAAATTTCCTGAACCAGTGTAATCGTTTGTATTGGTTCTGGAGTAAACCCATCACCACAATGTTTCCGTTTCTTTTCTCTCATTTCCAGAGCTTCTTTAATGAATTCTTTAGTGGACTCATCATCACATTTGGTATCCAAACAGCCTAGATCACTAATAACATAAGACGCAAAATACTAAATAATTTAACACATTACACATATAAAATATTAGAAATTAAAATTAGGTATGTGCAAGTCTTGAATTTTCAAGATCATATCAAGAAAAAAATCTTGAAACAAATTTGAATGTTGATTTATCTGTCTCCAACTCTTTGACAATATTCAGATAACTCATGCTTTCAGCAGTGGCACAATCAACACCTAGTCCATTAAAATCATAATTATTGGCAATGATAGCATAATCACACTCTATCTCTCTCATCCTCCCCTTTCTGTCCATGAAGAAAGATGACAGAGCACCCAAATTTATTTCTTTTCAATATAATATTTTATAAAAATGTTTAACTTAAAAATTATCTGATATGATATGGGACACATAGTACACTTCTGTTCACTGAAAAAAATGAGTGCTGCAAACAGTGATTACTGCAGACAAATTGGTCTAACACAGAAAATTCTAATTCCTGCCTTCATCCTCAATTTTTTTTTTCCAAATAAAAGGTAAAAGCTATTCTTGTAAGAGGCTGTGAAGGCCCATAGGGTTGTGAGATGTCGAGGCTCACACATTTTCTAGACAATCGGCTCACAGATGGCGGTAAAGTTGTCAGTCTTACGTGCCGGCTGCCCTTTACACCCAGGATGATTCCTGATACTCATTTCTGTTAGAGGATGAGTTGACCCCAGTGCCATTTTTTTGCTTAGTGGGGGGTGGAGTCCAACTGGGTCCACTCGGCACAGCAGCCACTGACTGGCCTATTGTAGTCTGCCCCGGGTGATTATGATGATGGAGAATTTGGTGGAATGAAGATTGGCAGGGGAAACCGAAGTACTTTCAGAAAACCTGCCCCAGCGCCACTTTGTCCACCACAAATCCCACTTGACCAGACCCGGGATTGAACCCGGGCCGCCATGGTGGGAAGCCAGCGACTAACTGCTTGAGCTATGGTGCGGCCCACCTCAGGGCCATAGTATGGCTGGAAGGATTAGGTTAAATGAAAAAAAAAATCCACCTCATCAGGACTCAAACCCGTGACCTTCCGGCTAATATAGTGCCTCAATCAACTACACTGCTATGGAGCTTTATTTCCAACTTCCTTTCTCAAACTCAAAGACTCATACTTGCTTATGTCTAATTAATGTCTTTAAATACTTTACTTACTGAGAGTATGGCCTTGCAGATCAGTTTTTATCTACTTATTTATGGTTCACTTAATATGAATCTCAGTACCTCAGACTATACAATGTCGAATGGTAGGAAGATGAATTGGAAAGGATTTGGAAAAGAAATCAGTCGTGGGCTACTGCAAGGTATTATCCAGCACTTGCCTGGAGAGGCTGAGGAAAACCATCAAAAACCTCAGTCAAGCGTCAGTGTCCTGACCAAGATTCAAACAGGGCACCTCTGGAATATAAGAGTTACCACCTAAGCCAACTTGCTTTGTTTACTTATCAATTACTTTACTCCTGGTATGATACTGAATGGCTGCCAGTTTCAAACACAATAATATTCTACCATGACCACAGTTATCATTTACATGTAATTAACTCCATACTTACTATCCTTTGCAGTAAAGATTGAAGTCATCGATGATTGAAGGTTGTTCTGCCAAGATTTTGTCCCTGAACACTATCCCCTTGGCAAAACCAGGGTCTAGCTCAAAAGCTCGAGCTATATACAGAAGGCAAGGAACGTACTCATTTAGCACATACAAGATGGTCACAAGGTTGTCCAAGCATGGCCAGTGTCGTGGGCTGCATCGCAACCCCTGATTACAAAAGATAAAAAGACAGTTAAAATAAGTACTAGCAAGGTGCAAAAATGAAAATGCTAAATAAAATTAATAATTTCTATCATAACAAATAAATTCCACTTCTTTGAAATTTAGAATTCCAGCTTCAAAAAATAAAATGGAACATACTAGGTGAAAAGGGCTAAAATTTGGCACTTTTACCCACATCTACACATTCACCAAATTTAATTAAAATCCAAAATGGTCAGACAATAATTTCCACTTTTTTCACTCATTTGATACAGAATTACTCATACATTTAATTTATTAAGTGAGAGTGTGTTTGACTGAACATGTGAATTTAATTCTGTGAACTGATGGATTTTAGTGTTTATAATAGTTTGAACATAAGAATCATCTAATGACCTATGTTGTTTCTTTAGTTACATCATGCAAAATCTTTTGGGACCTTTGGTAAGACTTGCCACTGAAGGACTGCATCCAGAGAGCTGACACTTAATTTTAACTTTTACTATGTTATGAGAAAACATTACCTCAAGGAAAGCATCACAGGCTAGTTCATATTCGATGACATGAAGAGCAACAGTACCAACACGATACCATAATGTAACATCACTCCCATCCAGTTCAGCAGCCTGGCACAGAAATCACAACACAGAACACGTATCAAGAAAACCATCAAAATGAATGTGAGGACTTTCTTCAAATTTCTCTACTTATGAGGTTTTCCAAGTGAAACCCACTTAGAAACTAGTCTGGATGAAGAAGTTGAGGCCATTGTAACAGTCAAAACAGGCATTGAGGCAGGCATCCCATAGCTGCACTCGCTGATGAATCCTCTCCACAAAGAACTCCCTAGGCTGCTATTAGAATCACCGCACCATAACAGCCTTGATGTCTTCACCTGACCTGAACGTACAGATCACTGATGCTACCATTAAAGGATCCTGACATCACTACCGGCACACAGTACTAGTGTGGAACCCTCCAAGACCTTTGTACTGTCATCAGAAGAGAGCATCCTGGTAGGCTCAGAGAAGGTGTCATCATAATGCATGACAACACCTGTCCCCATGCGGCCTGTACAGTCCACAGCACGCTGTGTTCCATGTACTGGAAGATGCTGGACCATCCCAAACACAGTGCAGACCTGCCACTGTGTGACATCCATGAATTTGGCCCCATCAAGTGCTAAGTGCCACACATTCAGGTCAGACAAAGACATTTAGACCATGATGTCCAGTGGTTCCAGCTTAGGCATTTCTTTGTAGAGGAGATTCATCAGATGGTGCGTCAATGGGACGCCTGCCTCAACATATATGGGGACTATTTTTTAACAAACTCTACTCCAACAATGAGAAGAATCTCCAAACTGGTTTCATTTGAACCACCCAATCATCTGCTACTCAAAAGGGACCAGATTTGCAAAAATTAAGGCAGACGAAAATTACGGCTGCCATCTGAAGTAAATGACATTTTTGTAAAATCTGAATATTTTGTAAAGGCAGAACTGCCCAAAATAAAAGGTCATGAAGACACAAGTCAATAACTGACATTTCTTTTTTCTTCTATTTCAACATTACTTTAATACATTATCACCTTTCCCTTTCTCAACAGCATGATTTTTATCGAACATTACACTGTACCTACAAATGACACAAGAATGATACATTACTTGATAACCTGTTGACCTCGGGTTTACATGAAACATGACAAACCATATCAGACGGAAAGCTATATTGTCCATTCAATCATTGCCAAATGTTAGTCACAGTCTCTTTACTCTCAGTCACAGTAAGCACAACATTTCAAATACACATATTCTCTTAATTTATGACATAATCAGTCACCTCACTAGGAAGAAGAATGAGTGAATACAATTTGTTGGAGACTAAAAACCGTACATATGCTAGTATAATAATTTTATTAAAGTAAATTACTTTAAGATAATGCTGCAAAGCTTCTTGTAATTCTCCTTGTTTCTCTAGTAGAGTGCCCATATTCTTGAGGCAAGAATATTTCAGAACCAAACCTGGGTGACCCAAGCCTTCTGTTCCATCTTGTTTTGTAATCTGCAAATATAAATATATATTTTAAAAATCTGCAGATTCAGGACTGCACATTGTAAGATACAGTTTACCAGAGTAATACATACCTCAACTAAGAAACTATTTTCAAGCAACGTCTGGAAAACTGTCCTTGCAGATTCAAAATTCTTCTCCCTCAGCATTGCTAAGGCTTCATTATACTGGGCAAACGCAGTTTGCTCCTGTGAATGAAAAGAGATATTGACAGATACGATTTGAGAGCCTCAAGGCAGTGTCTATGATGAACACAGTCTTCAAGGTCGCAATGTTGTCTAGTTGGAGGGCTCAGTATCTTCTCCACAGGGCCCAGACTGGCTCTGAGGTCCATGTAGCTTCCTATAAAATGGGTATCAGTGTGTCTTTCCCACTGATAAGCTGGTGGGGTGTGATGCTGACCACTTATATCCATCTGCTGCCAAGGTCATGAATGTTGGAGCTATATCTCCACTCCCCCACAAGCTTAATTAACTAAGTACAGGGAAAATTTTACCTTTTTACCTTTACGGATTAAATTTCATATATCTTTTGATTCTCAACATCAGATAACCGTGACATAGATCAGGTGGTTAGTCGCTGGCTTCCCACCACAGCAGCCCGGGTTGGATCAGTCGGATTTGTGGTGGACAAAGTGGCGCAGGGGGCAGGTTTTCTCCAAGTACTTCGGTTTCCCATGCAATCTTCATTCCACCACTTGTTCCACAATCACCATCACCTATCATCTGGGACTGGTACAATAGGCCGGAAGTGGCCGCAGTACCAAGTGGACTTAGCCTCACCCGACGAAAAAATTCAGGTCTGTGGCATTACATAGGAATCAGTATAGTATGTGCACTTGCTTTACTCCTTATTAACAGGAAGGACTGATATAGTTAGGTAAGTTTCTTGTGAGGGTTGGTACAAATCACTGATCATCTCAAGCAGAAGTCAGGCAGTCTTCCAACCAACCTGGGTCTGCTCATATTTGGACTGCTAAACACATAAGCCTACAGTCTAAACATATTGCAACAAAACTGATGAAGGTGCTGCCTTGTAGTTCTTGAGAAGAGGGTTCTTTAATGTTGTTCGGCCCCTTCAAGAGAAGAATTAATAAATAGGACAAGAATCAACTTGGTTTACAATTTCCAACAAAAATCTTAACAAACTGATTGTAAATATTTTAACATAAAGACAGTTGCTGTCGTTGTTAAAACATTAGATTTCATATCCATTGTATTTTATCAACATTATATGTATATATTTTAACATTCAAAAACATATTGTAATAGTGGCTTCCGATTGTACGAGTACTGATGTCCTCTGAGGATGGTGTGTAAAGACCGAAATATGTAAGGGATGAAGGACTGAAATAAGACAAATCTTTACTAGTCACACTGGATGGAACTATTTAACCTCTTATGACATATTACATCCTGTTACAGCAATGGAGGACCACACTGATCGAGTGTCTGGGAATGGGCTGCTGAGGAGAATATCTGGACCAAAAAAAGAGGAAATAACAGGAAAAAAATACGTTATCAAGAGCTTTGTCTTTTCTACTGTTCACCAAATGATCACTTAAGATGAGCAGGGCATATAGCAGATCTGGCAGATATGAGAAATACAAAATTTTGTAGGAGGGCCATTTGCCATCCAATCTGAGTCCATTTATTAGGACCATGCATGAACTGGAAAGCATTACACAAATATATTATATACTGTTAATGGTACAGAAAACCAAAGGAATTTCTGCCTATAAGTTTGATGTGTGATCAAAATGTAAACAATATACCAATTATTATAAATGGCCAACTTAATTTTAGTAAGCATCAAACTATAAGTGATAACACTATTAGTAAATGGGACGAAGTGCATAACTTAGTGAAAGAATCTGAAATAAAAATCCTTGAAAATAAAATAAAATATCTTAAAGGCAATATGCATAAAGTATTGTAACGTGTTTCTGGTTACTGAAGACGCCGCAGAGATGGTTAATTGGTTTATTTAACAATCTACAAATAACGGCTACAATTACTTATCACACAGTTGCGGGGTTTCACACTTTATAACCCTAATCGCATTAATCTGTTAACACTGTTGCGGGGTTTCACGATTTATAACCCTATGCGCAAATCAGTTCACTCTGTCTTCAGTGGTCTACACGGTTACAGTAGGGGAGCTATGTATCACTGTATCACACGCTCCCAATTACACAATCACACACACGTCCGGATCTTCTTTCCGTGACGGCTGCTATACTCCAACTGTAGTCGGCTGACTGGAGAACTGTTGATGACACACTCGGCGACTATTACGTTACAACTCAGCGACTGCCCACATTCCAACTCGGCGGCTGTCACAGCACAACTGACTGGTAGCTGCTGAGCTGTTCCCTTATACAGTGCGTACAATCAAGTGCGCGCCGCAGCTGCAATTTGCCGTGAGTCATACCACCGCAGAACGGATGCAGTCGCGGGGAGTGTTGCAACTCCTCCCCGCGACTGCATCCGTTCTGCGGTGGTATGACTCACGGCAAATTGCNGATCTAATGACATTAGTAGAAATGACTTAAGAGTAGCATTCAGGAACAATGTAAATTACATAGAGAATGTAAAGCACAGCAATATAATATTAATAAGTGCTCTTCTTAGATATGATGCCACAGATCTTTCTCACTTAAACAATTCAATTCAACTTTTTAACAGCAAACTGAGTAAAGTAGCAAAAATTTGTAGACATGTAAGTACAAAAGAATTGATAAATAATAGACTCTCACTTAAATGGGCTAGGCAAGGAAATATTATCAAACTAATTAGTGTCTCACATACTTTCAGTTGGAAAGAGTGAATGCAAAACCTATAATTCTTGAATGGCATGACAAGGAAACACAAATGGATGTTCTCCTAAAAACCAAACCTTTACTGGCCCGACTGCCAACTCGACAAATTTCTAAACGCAATAGAAAAATACCAACAATTAGAAATGATGATTTTTTTATGGAACACTTAAATGTGTACACATTAAATTATAGTGAACCTAGTTTTAAGGAGAATAGGAAACATAATAAAGTAACCACTACGCCTACAAACAGGTAATAAAGATCTAGTTATCTACTATCAAAACATTAGAGGACTTAATAGACTTAATATAAGTAAGCTTGACGAATTAACTATCTCTTCATTTCTGGATTCCTCTCATATTGTTTGCTTAACCGAGCACCATCTTCGTGATACTGCTATTGACACTACTTTGATGATGGGTTTCAAACTTGGGGCTAGTTTTTGTAGGAGCACCTTTAAGAATGGGGGAGCATGTATTTTTGTAGGTGAAACTATCTATTCTACTAATATAAATATGGAAAAATACTGTAAAGAAAAGGACTTAGAAGTATGTGCAGTTAGGTTGCAGCTCCCTGCTCATGAAATATGTGCTACTGCCATCTATAGAGCTCCTTCTTGTAACTTTCAGCATTTTTTTCAAAACCTTGACAAACTTTTGAATATGATTTTTGCCCACACTGAAGATATAATAATATTTGGTGATATAAACATCAACTATCTTAATGATTCTCCCCACAAACAGCAGTTAGACTCATTACTAGCCTCTCATGGACTGTATAGTATAATCCAAATTCCTACTAGATTCCAAAAAAATTCTTATTCTACAATTGATAATATTTTTATTAATACATACAAGTTTACGTATTTTACTGTATATCCCATCATAAATGGTCTCTCTGATCATGATGCCTAGAACCTAATAATACATAATATATTTACACAGAAACATAAAAAAAAAAGTTACTACTATATATGGTAAATAAAGGAACAAAAACTAAATAAAGCACCAGGAGGAGATAACATACCAGCAGAATTATTGAAGGCAGGAGGACAAAAAGGAATAATAGCACTCCACAGAATTATAAATAAAGTGTGGGAAGAAGAGAAGATACCAGAAGATTGGGGAAAGAGCATTATATGTCCCATATATAAAAAAGGGTATAAATTAACATGTAGTAACTACAGAGGTATATCATTACTACCAACAGCATATAAAATTTTAACAAGGATACTAAAAAAGAGACTGGATCCATATATAGAAAAAAATAATAGGAGAATATCAATCAGGATTTTGACCCAATAGGTCAACAATAGACAATTTATCCACCCTGAGACAAATAACGGAGAAATACTGGGAATTTAATACAGATATTTACCTATGCTTCATAGATTTTAAACAAGCATATGATACAATAATAAGGAAGAAATTAAGGATGATTGTGTCCATTTTTGGTATTCCAACAAAACTAAGTAGAATAACTAACTTAACCAGGGTAGAAACAATCAATCAAGTTAAAATCCAGAACTAGTTAATGGAATGCTTTAAGACAAATCAAGGATTAAAACAGGGTGATAGTCTGGCACCATCACTATTTAATTTGGTATTGGAATATATAGTGAGGAAATGTAATGTAGACACAAGGAATACAATAGCGTATAAACAAATGCAAATAATGGTGTATGCGGATGATATCATTATAGCATCAAGATCCCTAAGAGCAATGAAGGAGACATATAGAGAAATAAAAACCACAGCAAAAACAACTGGCTTAGAGGTGAATGTAAATAAAACTAAAATGCTGATACAATCTAGAAGGAATCCAAGACAAACTGGAGAAATTAACATGGAAGGGGATGGGATAGAAATAGTTGAAGACTTCATATATTTAGGATCGAAATTCCACAAAGATGGAGATGAAAATCATGAAATAACAAGAATAAAACTAGCGAATAATGCATATTTCTCGTTACTATCAGTTTTTAGATCAAAGGATATACACCGAGTGATTAAAACACAAATATATAAAACAATGATAAGACCGGTGCTTTATTATCGATGTGAGGGTTGGATGCTAAACAAGAAAGAGGAATCAGTCATCAATTCATTCGAGAGGAAAATCCTAAGACGAATTTATGGACCAACAAAAGAGAATGGGATATGGAGAATAAGATATAATAAAGAGTTATACAAATTATATATGGAGCCAGAGATGATAAAGCTTAAAAGATTGTAATGGGCTGGGCATGTACAGAGAATGGATAAAGAGCATATCCCAAAGAAAATATTATATAGTATAGTAGGCGGTAGGAGACGTGCTGGGAAACCAAGAACTAGATGGATTGATGCGGTGGAAGATACTGGGCTCTCTCTCATTTAAGGTAAAGGTTTCTACACTGAGAATATCAACTGTCTTTGGTGCCACATACTTTTACTTGCAAAACTCTTAAAATATAGAACTGCTTCCTTCTAACGAAAGCTTGAACTTTACTTTCCACGTTAACACTTTGCCAGTATAACAACTGAGCTATGGTGAGAACGACCGGGATTCGATTCCGGGCCAGGTAATTTTTTTCTCGTGTGCCCTGATCTGCTCCCAGGCCCTTCAATCTGTCGTAAAGCGTGGGCTATTTGGCAGATGGTAAGGAAGCCGGGGAGCAAAGGTTACCATTCATTTCCATCTACTGTGGGGTTAAGAATCCATGAAGCTATACCTCCACTCCCCCGCACATCTTTGTGCACACACAGGGACAACTTGACATCATCCTTCACTTCATATATGTCTGTATAACACATGCGGCCTGAGTTTGTAACACTCTTACCTGTGCTTCTCTTGTAATTAATGGAATTTCTTCTTCCCCCTCGCTTTCTTCCGAAGATTCTTCATTCAAAGCCCTAAGTCGAATCATGGCAGCTCATGAACGACACGCCTTAAACACTTGTAAATTTACTTGTCCTTCTTCTTGACAACCCATTCTCACATACCACTACCAGTACAACAATGTATCTGACAACGGGAGCCGGGTATTTACAATCGTTTATAATCATACACCTTCTCTTACATTCACTTTTTTCACTTGTATCCTAGTCCTTCCTGCCGTTAGGATCGTTACTATCGTTACCGATTGTTACGATCTGTGGTTCGGTGGTTGATCGTTACAATACAGTGGAGCCCAGTGGAGGGCATGGAGGTTAAGGGAATTAAATTTAACGTTCGTGCATTGAATTTCATCCACCAGGTAGAGAAATGAGTACTGATAATATTTAAAGGTTGTGCTAGGAGAAAATTTAAAATTTTCTTCCTTAATTGTTTATAGATCAAGGGAAAATTTTAAAATGCAGTGCAACATGGATATTGAAAGAGTTTATAAAATTCGTAAAAATACCCCCAATCAGACAGACTATAATAACCGAAAATGGTTGGAATACATATCTAGGTGTCCGTTCGTTAACTGTCGATTACGTATAACGCAATATGGCACGAAGGTTTAAATAACAACAGGCATCGCAATATTTATAATTCTGTTCATAACATTCTCATCGCCATTATCATTCCTTACATGGAAGAGCGAAAGATTTTCCGAAAAGTTCATAACCCCCTACTCACAACCAATTACCTAGTAGATGGCCTTTATGAGAAAATGTCAGGCCCATAAGCAGAGGTTACTCCTGTTCTGCTCACAAATTTCTGCATGCCTGTAAATCCTACCCAAATTTGCCTGCACATGAATATGTGTGAGAACTTATTATTCAAGCACAGATTTAGTCCTGTGTTGAATGTGTCAGACATAACCTGAAAAGTTTATTTGTTTACTGTTGTTGTGTTTGTAATTGTTTAATTATGTAGAATACTTCCTGCAAAAGTTGTAAGTATGCTCATTATCTCACCCCATACAAAATTTCATATGCCTGGTTCAAATAATTCATCATTTAGAACTGTCAAACTGGAAACCAAGTATAAGTTTTAGGCAGCTTTCATAATTTAAGGTTCTTATATGAGACAGGGCATACACACTTGCGGATAATGTGTTGATTCTACAAGCCTGCTGCCTTTCCTTCAGAAAGAAAAGCTAGGAGAAAATGTTGTTTGAAAGTGAGAACTCTTTTGCAGAAAAATATTGCAAGCAAGTCAAATTCAAACATATCAACAAAAGCTGGATTTCTTTGTAGTTTCCTGTTCAGCTTTGTAAAAAAATTCCATTGCAGTGTGTGCAACATTTAAAATTTGGTCCCTTTCTAATATACTTTGGTTCTTTATGGATTGCATGACTTGGAATTTTGCCTTCTTTAGTACCTTATGTCAGCTTCAAACTGAAAGCTGAAAGTAAAAGTAGGGAGTTATCTCTTTACTGTTTTTTTATACAGGTGATCAGAGTTTGTCCCCTCAACATTAAAATGCTTTTGACCCCTGGCTAGGGGAAGGAATAAGTGCAGATAAATGAGAAGGAAATGAAAGAGAATCATGTTTGTGTATACAGTGATGATCTTGAAGTTTGCTTCATAATACAAAAAAAAAAAATCTAATGTATATTTCTCTCATTTTAGTGCTGAAGAAGCTGCAATTACCAGAAAAGTATGAAGGAAGACAACTTTGATCCAGAACCAAAGGAAAAGACTGTTCTGAAGGATGCCATATACAAGTTTCTTCAGCAGTTTTATAATGAAAGAGACTCTGAAAAGATAACTGATGAATTTATGAAAGATTTCTATCGTTCAGTTTCTAGTTTGAGCCTCGATGACTTGGAAAGACTTGCAACTTCTTATCTTCAAGATGAAAAGACGAACTGAAGGAAGGAAAAGTTCATCTGTTTTGTAACCTAACACGAGTTCCATGTAAATAAACTGTGGTACATTTCGGGTTTTGTTTTACTGTTTTATAACATGAAACAGCAGCAAGGTTCGTTACATAAGGAATGCATATTGTGCTGAATTCTAAGCTTCCCGATTTAATTTATTTTACAGATTAAAACGCTTATCAGATATTCTAATTGTCAGTGTGTTACTTGGCTGAAAATTTCCTTAAATTTTATGCAAGGAATTACCAGAATTGTGATGCGAATTATTTGAAAGTTGGGGGAAATGCAGGAACTGCTAAATGGCTTCTCAGAGTTTATTTTGTTTAATTACACTAACAGTGTATTATTTAAAAGCACTGGTTTATTAATATTTACTCATTATTTCTGAATGATCTAAGCAGCATGTATGTTTTTGACTTTTCCACTATATAGTGCCTTATTCAGAAGACATTCAATGCACCATCTTATTTTTTGGCAGTAAAAGTAACAGGAGGTTGCAGAAAACTGCATAATGAGGAGCTTCATGACTTGTACTCTTCACCAAATATAATTAGAATGATCAAGTCAAGGAGGATGAAATGGAGGGACATCTAGCATGAATAGGGGAGAAGAGTAATGCATATAGGATATTGGTTGTAAAGCTAGAAGGAAGACCAAGGTGTAGGTGGGTCAACAATATTAAAATTGATCTTAGAGAGATAGGATGGGATGGACTGGATTGATCTGGCTCACAATAGGTACCAGTGGAGGGCTCTTGTGAACAAGGCAATGAACCTTCGGGTTCCATAAAATGCTGGGAAGTTGAGTAGCTGCACAATTGGCGGCTTCTCAAGAAGGGCTCAGCTCCATGAGTGAGTGACTTAAAATTTATTAAGATGAGCAAGCAGTGCCTATTGAGATTACAGCCTTCTGGTTGTTGATTACTTTACAATGCTGCCAGTAGTTGTTAGATAAATGATGAATTGCAATGAATATGGGAGGACCTTGGAGGTCCATATGGCAGTGAGACGTCGAGGCTCCCACATTTTGTACACAAATGGCAGTGAGGTTGTTGGCCTTATGCGCTGCAGCCTCCTTTTACAATACAGCTGCTGCTTCCTGTTTTTTCCTCTGTAAGTAGTTAGGTCCTGAGATGAGGTCATTCCCCATTGAAATGCCTATAGAATATTTTTTGTAGTTTCAGACATGAAGTGTGAATTGCAACATGCCAGAGAAACTCATCTGTATAGGCTAAAAAGTTACTTTATTATCACAAAAAACAAGTTACATGCGAGTTGCATGTATAATGTCACATTTGTTTTCTTGATGAAAACATTTGAGACATAACCTCTAAATTATAAAATTGTTGCATGATTTTCAGGCAGTTGAGAAGATGAATAAAATGTAGGCTTCATGAATTAAAGTTGGCAGCTATATCATGCCATGCTAGTCATCTCTCAATGCTCAGTTCATCATTGTTTATAATAAGGTCAGTGGTTTCCTTTGAATGTGCTGCCTTCACAAGCTTTTGTGCATCATCTCAACCTCGAGCACACTCACACAACATGGCTTGCCTCAGCCACATGTGAGACACTGTCAGTACACAATTTGTGAAAGTGAATTGTGAAGCAAAATGCAATTCTTTAAGATGCTACATATATTTGAAGCCATGACCACATTTGTGAATCTCATTAACTGCAGTCCTCCCCAGAACCTACCACTCAGACACAGGAACATACACGTATATATATAAAATTTGTACGCACCAGTTTGCTTCACGGAAACCCACTGGACACAGGCACATACATGTACAAGGTGGTTCAAACATGAGTGGGACTGATTTGTGTGTAAACAAGCCGCACTGTGCAGCAGCTGTGCGACCTTGAGAGTGAAGCCACAACCTCCACCCTCCCTCCTGTTTGGGTTAGAACCTGTTCAGTCCTGTCTGGGAGTTGCTAGAATGATGAGTGAACAGAAGGTACCGCAGAGTGTGGAACAACACATTGTGATCAAATTCCTCGGAGAAAACGTCCCGTCTGCTGAAATTCACCACAGACTCCAACAACAGTATGGGGAAGAGTGTGTCTCACGGACCCGTGTGTCTGAGTGGTATAAGTGCTTCAGAGAGGGCAGAGAGCACGTGGAGAATGAACCGCATGATCGTTGGCCATGAACATCCGTCACCAAGCCAAACATTGATCATGCAGACGCGCTTATTCGTGAGAATAGGTGCATCACTATCAAGGAACTTGGAGCAATGCTGTCCATCAGTGTTGGTAGTGCAGAAGACATTGTGAAATACCACCTGCACTACTGCAAGGTGAATGCACGGTGGGTACCATGCACTTTGACGGACGTGAACAAAATGGTGCGCATGCAAGCTGCCAGTCATCTCCTACAGCAGTTTAAAGACGAAGGTGATGCATTTTTGAAGTCTATAGTGACCACCAATGAAACGGGTGCACTATTTCATTCCCGAGTCCCAGCACGCACCAGTTTGCTTAATGGAAACACACTGTAATACTCCATGATCCTGAAAATCTTTGTTCTTGCATCTATCAAAATGAATGTTCCAAAGCAGTCACCCAACTTTATGGCTTGGTTACAGCCTGAAATTTTCACTGAAAGCAAAGCAGTTCAGTAAACTGATTACGCATAAATCAGATTATTTTGTTTTTTGACACATCTATGCCTTAAGTGGAATTTGAAACCATGATCCCAGTTTTTTGAGCAGGCAAAGACAGTTCATGCCTTAGATCACTTGGGCGCTGTGATCGCCTACAGAGATCTTTCGAGTGTGTAAATCAGACTGGTATAATGTTTTGTAGTCACACTACATAGAAGTGTTCGATAAATCCAAATACAAATCCAAACCCTGTATCTAGTCACTAACACATGACAGTATGTTTTAATGCTTCCTGCCATCTATGTTTAGGTCTCCCAAGTACAGGGCTATTGTAAATGATTTGGGTGATTGGAAATCAGCATATTCTTGAGATGGTTATACATACAAACCCCAGTAGGGTCAAGAATTTTCTCTTCTCTAAATCATCCACACTGGCTCTGGGGTCCACTCAACCTCCTATCCAATGGGTACAGGCGGCTGGGGCATGAAGCTTACCACTCACCTTCGGCATAAAGCTTAATTCAGTGAGCACAGGGACAACTTTACCTTAGCGATACAAACATGAAACAGCTTGAAAACAGCAAGGGAACTTGTTAAGTTTTGGTTGGCAGTATTGTTTGTCACACACATCAGCTGTTTGTGGCACTCCAATCACTATCAAAGCAAAATGGCGTCTCAGGTGCAGAAGGATTGGATAGGACAAGCAGGACTCATTCCTTGGTCTCCTAGATCCCTGGACCTTCATGTGATTTCTTCATATAGGGATATGTGAAAAGGTCAGGTATACCAGCCTCCAATGCCAGTCCCTTTGAGAGGAATTTCACAGGCCATAGTCAATGTCACTGAGTTCCAGCTGTATCACACTGATGTATGCAGAGTAACTAACAGAGTAAATATGTAACATTTCTACAAAAAATGTATGAGTTTCCAAGCTATCTTCAAGTTGTTTCATATACGATGGGGTACCCAAAAGAAACTGAACTAATTTTTTTGTGGGCAGAGCTTTTGTAGTACCGCGTTTTGCCACTATGAGCACATAGAGCTAACATACCTGAGTCGATAAGCCGATTACCGTTGCTTCAGAAGGTAAGGACTAGTTTCAGCAAAGTTTATAGTGACAACTGTTTTGTGTGGTCGTTGTTTTTGCAATGGTTGATTTTCGTGAACAGCATGCGGCGGTGAAATTCTGCTTTTTGCTCGGGAAAAGTGGAACAGAAACTCTTGAAATGTTAAAAACGGCATACAAGGACGATGCTATGGGAAAACTCAAGTGTTTGAGTGGTTTTCCCATTTCAAAAATTGTGAGATGTCAATTGATGACAAACCTCATTCTGGTCTTCCTTCCACGGCCCGAACACATAAAAATGTTGAAAAAATTCGTGAAGTAATTGTGGAGCTGTTGGGAGTGACTTGGAGCTCAGCGGCCAGATTTGTGGCAGTCGGGTGACTGGTTTTTCCATCATGACAATGCCCCTGCTCACACAGCCCTGTCTGTACGACAATTCTTGACCAAAAATGGTATGACCCCTGTTCCTCACCCTCCATACTCACCCGACCTTGCCCCGTGCGACTTTTTTTTGTTTCCTCGAATGAAAAGAGACATGAAAGGAAAAAACGACGGAGGCGCTGACAAGCATTTCAAAAGATGAATTTAGACAATGTTTTGAAAAATGGAATAAAAGACTAGACAAGTGTATTAGTGTAAGTGGAGAGTACTTTGAAGGGGATTGAAGGTTTGTGCTTAAAATTTGAATAAATAAGTTTAAAAAAATAAGTTCGGTTTCTTTTGGGTACCCCCTCATATGTATCTGCAACTGTTTAAAAAATACACTAATTTATTATCACCCAGATAATTTATAGCAGCCCAGTATTTCCCATCAGGTTTTCAAAGCAAAATTTTTTTATGCATTTTCATCTTTTCATGTGTGCTACAGGTCTCACTCATCTTGTCCTCGTTGACTTCGTGATCCTGATTAATTTTTTGAGTTAGTCTTTTTATCTAAATTATTTTATTATCAGTTTTTAATTCTATGTACATACTGTTAGATCACTGTGCAGTCATGACATATGTTGAAATGTATTTAATTGTATGCCAGGTTTGGTGACTGATATTTTGGTTTGACTTTTACCCAGGTGTAAATAGCCGTAAGTGATGACTAGCTGGTAAACAAATTCTGAAATACGATGCTGATATACGATATACATATAAATACTCAAAATGCAGTGTTTCAGAAAATAAATTGAATTGTTGCATTTTTAATGCTGTAAGCTCCAAATAAATATTGTACCATGAAGAATTAATCCATCTAACTGCATTCATATTTTTAAAATAGCCATTGTACACACTTAGTTTACAGTTTCTTCAAAATATGTTGAACTATTTTCATTGTGTTCATTTCAGTATGGTTTTATATTTAGCTCTGAAAAGTGCCAGAAATTTTGATGACAGTTGTACATTGCATAGCCATGAATTATGATTACTGCTTCTTCCCACTCTGCTTTTAGGATGCAATCCAGTCCAAATGTCATCATAAACATAGCTGTGGCTTTTCTGTACAATGGTACTCCTGTTCTTTATAACAGAAAGATTAAGCATATCACAGTATAAACTTCAGTTATGATACTCGGCACTTGGGGTATGAATGTATAAGGGGTTGGCCTTTTTGGCCCTTGCACCGCGACCTACAGTGGTCTATTGTGCTTTAGGGTATCCTGAGACAGAAAGCAAACAGTGCCAGCTCATTCTCCTTCATTCTCTCTGTGTATTTCGAGTTTCTCATCTGTACTGTCACATCACAATGATGTGACATCATGAATTTTGAAAGACGCTTGGACAAGTATGAGATTGAGTACTTGAAGCAAATCAGAGGCAGCTGAGGAAAACTCTGACAAAACAGATGAGGAGGAAGATGATTAAAGAACAAGTTCTGTTTCCACCCTACCAATGGGTGTACAAGCAAAGGCAACTAACTGGCCAGTCAGGTAGGGGTGGCCACGGCAACAAAGATGACTGTTCTTATGAGTGGATTCATCTATTGACTGGTAATACAACAGGCAAAAGATGGACTGTTGCACCCTATAAAAGCAGAGATTCATCTTCATACAGTGCATTAACAATACTTATGTTTCTTTATTGTGTACCTCCTCCAGCAGCTGATGATACAGAATCTGAAATGTTTCTGCTTCTAGCAATTAACTATATGACTGGTATGCGACATGTGTGACATCCAGAAAGACAGCTGAAGCCTTTTCACCTTTTTATGACAAAACAGTGATATACAGTCCTTCACATTCTCAGATTTCTCTTTTTCAGTGAGTGACAGTGATCGTGACAGTAATTACCCAAATTGACTGTGGGAACTGTGATGTATATGCTGCTTGTTAAACAATGTATACTAAAAATATTATGCCCTTTCTAAAAGACTGGCTGTGGATCAAATTATAGTACTTTTCAATGGGACATTAATTTTAAAAAATCACATACACAAGGAACTTGTATGTTTTGGAATGAAACTTTATAAATTATGTGACATGTGGCTACACATACACTATGGATATTTACTTATGAAAGAACAAGACACATGCAACTAGAGATATAACAGCAACACACACACACAAAACTGTAAAATTTTTAAAAGAAAAAGTGGAAGGACATGGACATCACTATACCCGTATATGGACAAATTCTGTTTGTCATGTGACATTCAGGAATCTGGCAAGAAAAGAAAATCAGCTGTTGCAAGGCACTCAGACACAACACAAACGGATGTCACAGAGCTGTGGTTGCTACCTGCTTCTTGTTGGTTTTTTGCTTGAATTACTATTCTATCCTGAAGATGGGAGGCTGTACATTCCTCTGAAACATCAGTGGACTTCCACCAGACTAATTGGTGTTACATCCCAGAAGATGTACCTACATCTTTGTAGGTTCTGTGCTCTGCCTGCTCATTGCTAGTTTGTTGCTTACTTACCCTTTGACCCCGAATACGGAGTCAGTATGTTCCTCTGAAACATCAGTGTACTTCATGTAACCAGAGATGGTATACTTGAAGTTTCATATTCATGTTTTCTTTGGGGAGACCACCATTCAGTCAGCAGAGCTCATAAAGGTTCATTCAGATCTATTTGGTGCAGTTTTTGTCTTATTTCTTTCTGTCAAATTTATTTGGTGTGTCATTTAATCCTTTGTATTTTTATTCTGTATTCAGTTACAAAAATTGCAGACGCATGTGGTTTTGAAAATAAAACATTAATTTTAGTGTATCAATTTTTACCTATTTTTATTTTTGTATGTGTTCATCGTAAGCATAATGTGTAATGCAATTGAGTGCACTGGAATTCTGGACTACTGTAAACAAGTAGAAAGACAAACTAAAGATATTCGGAAAGTAAAGATACGAAGTCCAGAAATTATTTGTAAAGCATTTTTTTATATACTTGTAGCACTTTTACAACACACCTTTATATACTTTTCAACAGTCACCATGGATCGCAATGCACTTAGTAAACCTGGGAATGAGTTTGTTTTTTATTCCAGCCTTGTAGAAATCTCCTGCCTGTAACAATTTCACGGAGAACAGTTCTTGACACTTCTGGACATTGTTGATGAAGTTCATCAATGGTTAAACGTCTGTCAGCACAAATGTTTTCATCAGTTTTTTGGATGATTTCATCAGTGACAACAGATGGCCTTCCCCTCCTTATTTCATCATGAACATCACTTCTTCCCGCTTCAAATTCACGACACCGTTTTGCCATGTTTTGCCTGTTCATAACATCTTTGCCATAAGCAGAAACAGGTTGGTGATGAATTTCAGCAGCAGTTTCTCCTTTCACGAGAAGAAATCAAATTACTGCACAAACCTCACATTTGGCGGGATTTTTAATCGATAAGGCCATTTTAAACACACACTGCGAGCACAATGTTGGTGTGACTGTGGCCAGTGAATTCTGACCTGTCATATGGTTCCTATCTCACATGGTAGCCCTGCCATTTATGGGGGGAAAANTTCTTTGGTCCCGTTATGCTAACACAATGTTCTAGGGTAGGGGTGAAAGAATGCAAGGATTTGTGGAAAGTTTCAAGGACAGATACATCGCCCCAGTTAGTATCTTTGTATCGATCTTCAAGTGCGTTAGCAAAATGTCAGTCTGTAAAAGGAAGCGTGTTGTGTTAAGTATTCAACAGAAAAAGGAAAATGCCACGAAAAAGTAAACGACAATATTAAATTTTTTTAAGTGTTAAGTGTGAATATTCATAAAAAGTGTTGGATCTTGTTGAAGACTGTGATTGAAATAACTAATTCATACTTCAGTGTAATGTAAAAAAAGTATTAAATAGGCCATGAGATGACATAAAAATGAGGTTGAATAAATTTAAATACAGGTAGGCCTATAGTATTATGAAGGTACAGTATTACAGTACTACTTTTAATAAAATTTGTCTTAACTGGGTTTTCGATTAATCGTGATTTCCATCCCCACCATTATCCCGGATAATCGAGAGTTGACTATAATAAGTGATTTTCAGGACTGACTGTAGCATGGATAGACCTTTGGATTATCTGTTGTTTTTAATTACCCATGCCACTTCTGCATTACCATGAATAGTCAGTTACTGTACCATTTGTTTTTCAAAAGTTGCTTTTATTGTAATTATATATTCTGAAATTTTAGATCAGAAACCCCAAAACCTAAAATTATATTGACAGAAGAGCCTTATGACAGGATAGGCACTACTTTCTGTCCCTATGATAACATGATAGATTACACCATATGTCTGGGGTATTTCCAAAAAAACAGATGCATTTGGAACCATTTCAATGTTAAGACCATTTTCAAAACTAAGCATAAAAGCATAACTAAAAATATTCATCTTTTGGTTCTTTAGGTTATGATCCTATATTGTAGTCAAGGATGAGTACTGGCATTCTGGACGAATGTACTACTGACCAGACTATAACATGGTGCCATAAGACAGAATACCACAATGTTAAACTTCACCACTATGAAAACTTTGTATTTTACAACTGTCACACTTTGATGTTTGATCCAAAGTTCTCATGATGGTCATCTGAGCTGTAAATGCAGCAGGTGGGGGTTAAAGAAGTATAGTTACAATCTAAAGAGATATCTAAACATATTTCTGATGTGTTCTATGAATAACAATCAAATTTGCAGTATTAGTCAATTTATCAATATAAATCTGTAATATAATGACAGAGCAAGCCTTCATACTTATAAGACTGTCAAAGCTCTGCTCTCTAATTGAAAGAACATTTCTGTACAGCTTAATGCAAATTTTAAGAATGGAGTGAGAGTCTATAAAACTAGAATCAACCATATCACAGATAGTTACCACTTACCAGTCACCTACATAGAATAACATTACACAATTACAATCCTGCAATTAAAAGAACGGCGAGGACTGGGCAGCGTAGTCGGTTCCAACCAGACCACGACAAATTAAAGAGAACTCTCTCACAGTCTCTTGCAACTTGCGCTTGTTGGCACGTTCTCTATAACACAATGTACAGTGTACATTACAATATTACCATGGCAAACACTTTTTTCACAAACTACGTATCACAAAATGGTTACATAATTAGAAACAGTAATTCCTCTAAAACTTCTTACAATTCATTTGAGAAAAGCTTTCCTGCCTAAAAATAAATAGAACTGACTTAATTCACCGGTATACTTCCCAGACTGTGAACTGTAACTGATACTTATTGAGAAAGTCTTGTATACATTCCATCTGCTATGGTAATGAGTGTGTCACTGTCAGTTAGTGACAGAGACCGCTATATCATCACTAGAAAGTTTCGTCATGTCTGGTATACATGTGCCAGTGCCAATTCAAACATATGTACACAGGGATGTATCCTGGTTTGTAAAGTAGATGACCAACAGAATCCTACCTCTCTAAGATTCATTTTAATATTATCCTCCCACCTATGTCTAAGGCCCCCCATACACAGTTTGGCCTTCCGATTGACCTTACAGGCAAAACTGACAGTTTACCCCCTCCCTTTCCTCCCCATACACATGCAGATAAAGCGGCAGGCTTCATGCCACAATGACGGTTTTCCAGCCTATAATGTTGAGTCACACACGTCACGTGCTACGGTCCTGCAGGCAGAACTGATGGACTGACGGGTTTCCCACAGGCCAACAGTCCAAACGATTGGCCGACCAGCCGCACCACACACGTCAGCTTTGCCTTTCAGTCTTCAACTGTGCAGGCCGAACTGGAGGCCAAACTGTGTGTGTATGGGGGTCCTAAGACATACTAGTGGTGTCTTTCCTTCTGGTTTTCCAACCAAAATCCTATATGCATTCCTCTTCTCCCCCATGCATACTATATACCCTGCCCATCTCATCCTTCTGACTTGATCATTCTAATTACAAGTTATGAAGCTCCTCATTATGCAGTTTTCTCCAAACTTCTATGAAAACCTATAAGAAATGCTGTGATAATTTGGAAATCTTTAAATTAATTTTATATTCATATCTTTATTAGACTAAATCAGTTCATATGCCATATTTGAGATTCTCATAGAAGTAAATACCTAGACTGTGACCTGAGCCATGTAATAGTTAGAGAGCTACCAACATTTCTGCAGAATCCTCCACCCTTCACCTTCAGAGTAGAAGAGTAAGTCATGTGGGAAAATCAAGGTAAAGGAGTGCAGAAACTGCATTGCGAGCAGGCCGATGGGAGATGGTCACCCTAAAGGAAGCCAAATTTTGGCTGCTGCTGTGTCACTGAACTTCCATCTCAAAACAGATGATCATATTTCAGGTTTGTTCTTCAAAATGGTAAATGATGCCAAAGAAGTCAGTTTGTAACATCTTATTGCCCCCCCC